AGCCAAAAGAAGAGTGAAAATCCAGAAATGTAAAGATTTCTTTGAGATCTAAAAAGTTTCATCTGTGTATGTTCATAGGCACTAGGTCTACCAGTTGAGCTCTTCTCAATGGTATTAGCAGAATACTTTCTTACTTCTCTCACGGCATCTATTGGGGGGGAAAAAGAAGAATGATTATTTTTGGTTTTAAAAAATTAAACTCCTCCCATTATTTGTTTTTAACTCAATGGCACATAATAATATTATTAAAACTGGAAAGCACGAACATAAACTATTCAAAAAATTTCCACTGTCATCAAGTCAATTGTGACTAACAGTGAGGGTGGTTTCTCCATCAAGTTTACAAGGCTGTAATTCTTTCCAGGAAGACGCTGCCCATCTTTCTCCTGCGCAGAGTCTTGTGATTTGAACTCCTAATCTTTTAGCATCCTGACACATTATACACTACACCACCAGGGCCTCTTAATGTAATCAAAATGGCCTAAAACTGGTATAAACAATAGACACATTAACCAACGAAAAGAACCGATAGCCCAGAATTAAGTTTATACATCTATAGTTAACTGATTTAACTGACTGCCTATTAGGTAAATATGCTCTTATTTAGTCATGAGAATTTTTATCACGAGCAGTAATCAGTACTGAAGGTTTGAGTTTTGTCAGTAAGTGCTCCAAGTCTACTTTGTTTTCTGCATGTCACAAGTTGTCCTCCAAACTTGACATACGCCAACCTGTCATATACTTCAGTTTCTCTATTATATGCTCTGCAAACAGATTGAGTAGATGTCATCCAAGGATAAAGACTGAATGCAGACCTTTCTTCATCATGTAACATGCTGATGCCCTTGTTCTGTTCAAATGGCTCCTTCGTGGTCTGTTAACAACTTCCACATGAGCACATTGAAAAGGTTTTATAGGTGAGGTCTACGGGCGCTGGCAAATCAGGCCCAGGATATAGAGTTGGCGGTGCCTGATGGCGCATTTGAGGCGGAGTTGGGTGGGGTAGAGCGTAGGGGGCGGTAGTCGGGGGTGGTGGGAGAAGGAGGCGGCGGAGAATCACTTATAAATGGCGCCGAAGCAGGACCCGAAGCCTAAATTTCAAGAGGGTGAGCGAGTGCTGTGCTTTCATGGGCCTCTTCTTTATGAAGCCAAGTGTGTGTAAAGGTTGCCATAAAGGACAAACAAGTGAAATACTTTATACATTACAGCGGTTGGAATAAAAATAATGCTGTTAGAGGCCCAGGCACTCTGAAAAAACTTTGAAGACACGTGAAGATATCGTAAGCCCTTTTTCCTGTTCCTGAAGGAGCTTCCCTCAGTACACCACCCCCTCCTGACCTCTAGCTGGGATGAATGGGTTCCAGAAAGCCGAGTGCTTAAATATGTGGACACCAATCTGCAGAAACAGACAGAACTTCAGAAAGCCAATCAGGAGCAGTATGCAGAGGGGAAAATGAGAGGAGCTGCCCCAGGAAAGAAGACATCTGGTCTGCAACAGAAGAATGTTTAAGTGAAAACGAAAAAGAACAAACAAAAAGCACCAGGAAATGGAGATGGTGGCAGTACCGGTGAGACTCCTCAGCCTCCTCAGAAGAAAAGGGCTCATGTAGATCCTACTGTTGAAAATGAGGAAACATTCATGAACAGAGTTGAAGTGAAGATTCCAGAAGAACTGAAATCATGGCTTGCTGATGATTGGGACTTAATTACTAGGCAAAAACAGCTGTTTTATCTTCCTGCCAAGAAGAATGTGGATTCCATTCTTGAAGATTATGCAAATTACAAGAACTCTCTGGGAAACACAGATAACAAGGAATTCGCTGTTAATGAAGTTGTGGCTGGGATAAAAGAATACTTCAATGTAATATTGGGCACTCAACTTCTCTACAAATTTGAGAGACCTCAGTATGCAGAAATCCTTGCAGATAACCCTGATGCACCCATGTCCCAGGTATATGGAGCACCACATCTACTGAGATTATTTGTGCGAATTGGAGCAATGTTGGCCTATACACCTCTGGATGAGAAGAGCCTTGCTTTATTACTGAACTATCTTCATGATTTCCTAAAGTACCTGGCAAAGAATTCTGCAGCTTTGTTTAGTGCCAGTGATTATGAAGTGGCTCCCCCTGAATATCATCGGAAAGCTGTGTGAGACTACTAACACTTGATTGTATATTTGGAACTCTGTAAACACATTTTTGTTCTTAGTCCTTCTCTTGTACAAATGATGTACTTTGAAAATGTTAGCTTCTAACAAAATTGATGTATGTTTTCTGTTTGATTTTAAACAGAGAAAATAAAAGGGGTTGGTATATAGCTCCTTTATTTCTTTGCTTTTTTTAATTTCAAAATTTGCTGCCAGTGTATTCAAGGATGGACAATGGAAAGACATGCTGTTGAGTGTTTTATTGCCTAGTTGACAAAGCTGCTTTTGAATGCTGGTGGTTCTATTCCTTTGACACTACCTACTTTTATAGTATGTATTAATGCTGTAAGACAAAATGCTCTGATTCCTAGTGCCAAAGGTTCAATTCAGTGTATATAACTGAACACACTCATTCATTTGTGCTCTCTCTCTTTTTTTTAATGGTGCTTAAAGAGCCCATCCTTTGGAAGTCATCTATGTTGTTCCTTAGGCATTTTATCCTTGCTCAGACTGTTGAAGAATGGTGGCTTGTTTCATGGTTTTTGTATTTGTGTCTAATGAACATTTTATTAACAAGCTAGATGCACTGTGTAGCTACAGTTTCTGGACAAGTTGATCTTTTAGGAATTGTTTTTCGGGTCTTCAATAAATTTTGTTTTGTAATGCCTACTCTTCTCAATGTTACCCCCAAATTTATTACAATCTACACATTCAAATGTCTTTGCACAGTCAACAGAACACAGTAAACATGTTTCTGGTACTTTCTGCCTTCAGTCAAGATCTACATGATGTCAGCAATGATAGCCCTGGGTTCTACGGTCTTTTGTGAATCCATCCTGAATTTCTGATGGTTTACTGTTGATATGCTTCAGGCTATTAATGATATTGTTGTATAACATCTATATTTTGTTGGATCGCCTTTTTGAAAAAGGGGAAAAAAAAGACACACACAAATAATGGATCTCTTTTAATCAGTTGATGAGATAGCCATCTCTCAAATTTCTTGGCATAGATGAGTGAACATGTCCATTTATGCATCTGTTTGTTGAACTACCTCAAATTGAAACCCATTTATTTTTAAAACCTTTTTCACCAGGGAGCTCTGGGGGCATAGAATACAGGAAGTTGGCTGCTAACAGAAAGGTAAAGACTCTGGTGGCTCAAACCCACCAGCACTCTCCTGGGAAATATCCGTGTGTGTGATTTGTTGTTGTTGATGATGTTAAGTACTGTCGAGTTGCCTGCAACTCATAGTGACCCTAGGTACAGCATATGTACAGCAGCTCTATACCTTGCCCTATCCTGAACAAGTCTCATTAATTCTGACACATAAACTCCCACTGTCCCAGTTACTGTATCAATTCTTCTCATTTGGGGTTTTCCTCTCCTGCGCTGTCTGTCCACTCTTCCGTGCACGATGCCCTTCTCAAAGGACTGGTCTTTCCCGGCCACGTGCCCAGAGTATGTGAGACTGAACTTAAAAATCCTAGCCTCCAAAGCTTCTCCAAGGCAGATCTATTTGCTTTCTCGGGAGTCCATGGAATGTTCAAGACTTTTCCAGCACCACAATTTGAAGGCATCTATTTTTCTTCTGTCATCCTTAGTCACTGCAAGGTTCTCTGACACATAACAAGTAAATGTGAAGATGTACAGCCTCTGAAAACTTGCTGCTGGCTTCTAATTTGGTGGCAATGAGGTGGAGTTTCTGCTTGTTTTGTTGTTTAGTTTTTCACCAGTGTCTTCAGTCTAACTTGGATATCTTCCTTAAGAACCACTGATTTTTGATCATATGTCACTTCCTGAAAGGGATGAGTACTAATTAATTCTTTTTGATACAGTGATCCTTCCATCTTCTTTTGCTGCTTCCTAGGTCACTCAATATATTGTCCACAGAATCCTTCAATATTGTCATAGAAGGTTTTTTGGGTGTTTTTTCCTTCTTCTTCAGGTCTTTCAGCCTGAGAAATACTGAGCATATTCTTTCCTTTTGGTTTTCTAGCTTTAAGTATTCATGCATTTGATTATAATTCTTTGATGTGTCCTCTCAAACCATCTTTTGTTCAATGATCTTATGTCATTCTTTTCACTGTATCATCTGCGTGTTCCAAAGCAAACTTTAGAGTCTCTTCTGAGACCCACTTTGATCTTTTCTTCCTTTAATGCTTTTTTAAAATGACCTTTTGCATTTTTCATCTTTCTTGAAGTCCTTGATGTCATCCTACACCTTCTCTGGCCTTTGTCCTGTGTTGAATGCATCACAACTATTGACACAGTCCCTATCTCAATATGTAGGACATAAACAAGGTCTCTTCTTTGGTTCTCATTTTCTCCAGCTTCAAATCAAAGTTGATACAGGGAAGTTCCATAGACAGACTCTGGCCTTGCTCTGACTGATGTCAAGCTTTGCCCTGTCTTTTTCCACCAAAGTAGATGATTTGATTACTGTATATTCCAAATAGCAAGGCCCATGTCTTGCTTTTGTTAGAAAAGTATTAACATTAAGTCAGTCGTTAGTTATATAAAACTCTGTCATGCAATCTCTGACATCGCTTCGACCATCAACATCATATTTTATAACTAATAAGCCTTCTTCCAACTTTTGCATTCCAATCACCACAATGCTGTCTAAAGTGTCTAAGTTGTGTCTGTGCAATTGTTGTATCAATTCTCAAAAGAGGCCTTAAAATGTCTAGTCATGATTTTGGATCTATTTTTTTACTATTTAAATGTATTTGCTTAATGTTGTTATTATTTGCCATCAATACTCTTCTCCAGCACCACAGCTCAAAGGCAT